GCGACCGCTACTTTGGAACAGATGCTGTCCCCGATGGCAGCGACGAGGAGGAAGCGGCCTCCATGGGCTAGCCCACCGCCCAGTCCTTCCCACCCGTGTCCCCACCCGCCCTCCAGCCTCCTGGCCCATGCTTTCAGAGGACACGTTATTCTAATTTAATGGTGTCTCTGGTATAACTTGTTCTATACATTTTATAAAATAAAGTTTTAGGAAAATCAAAGTCCTGACTGATAATCTGAGGGCTGGCAGGCCCCCATGCGAAGCAGAGTCCAGAGGCCCGGCTGCGGCTGGTCAAGTTCAGGCTGCTCCCCCCCGCCCCAAGAAGGGTAGCCCATCCTCCCAGGCTTGGTGCCCGGTGTAGGAGAGGGCAGAGCGGGGCCTGGCGGGGCCTGGCGGAGGAGCCCCACCCCCACGTGTTCCTACTCTGAGGGGGCAGGCGGAAGTGGGTGTGTGGGCGGCCAGCGGAGGGAGTGATCCGCACTGTCTCCACGGGCAGGAGTCCCAGATACAGGAGAGGTGGCCAGGGCCTGTGTGGGCCCCCCAAGCCCCTCAAGGCCCAAAACCCGCTCCAGCCTGCCTTCAGTGTTCCTGGGCCCCGGGGCGGGGGCCAGCTTCTCCAGCCCCTCAAGGCCAGTCCGGCAGGCCTGCCCAGGAGCGGAGCTGTGGCCACACCAGCAGCCGTCTGGGGTGCTGCAGGTGGGGTGCCAGGCATCCCAGCCACCCTGTCCGCTCCCTCCAGCTGTGCTCTGGCCTCTTCTTTCCTGTCCTCTTGGTCTCCTTGGTTCCCCCACCCCCCACAAAGGCCTTGTCATGGAAAAGCTTGAGGTGGGGCGGGGACAGGAAGTCGCTGGGTGGGGGCCAGGCCAAAGGCGGGCAGATAAAAGCAGGGGGCTGGTCCCAGGGGTGGCCAGACTCTAGGGACCAGGACCAACGCCCTGCTGCCAGCAAAGAGGCTGCTCCCAGTGTGGTGAGTGCCCTGCCACCCCCACCCCCACCTCTGGGCCCCTCCTCCACGCACCGGTCCTCCTGCTGCTGCAGGGCCGGACACGCTCTTGGGAGGCGCGGCTGGGCCACGTGGTGGGCAAGACGCTGCTCCGTCCAGCCAGCCCTGTCTTCCCGAGTGAGGGTTGGGGTGACCCTGGGGCAGGGGCAGGTAGTCCTGGAAGGGCCCCGAAGTCCAGCCAGGGTCTGACCAGCTCCCAGAAAGGAAACCCCACATGCCTGTGCCCGCAGCACACACGTCAGCAAAGCGTGTCCGAGACACGGGTGCAGGTGTGGGCCCTCAGGAGGAGAGGGCCCACTGCCCACGCCCTGGGGGAGGACAGCCTCCTTCAGCGGGGTCTCCTCAGAAGCAGCCCAGGGAGGCAAGGCCACAGGCAAGGGGACATCTTGGGCCCGTTTCCTGCCGGGCCCTGTTAGGTGGTGGAAGTGGGTCACCTTCTGAACAGCCCCAGGTGTGGGGGGTGCGGGGTGGTCTCTGGGGATCAGTGGGAGGACGGCACTTCTCCGGCCCCTGAGAGCCTCCCAGCCCCCGGATCCAAGGTCCAGGGCGGGCCTGGGAACGGCTGCTGGACACATCTGGAGGGTGCGGTAGGAGCGGAGGACTCGGGTGATCTCGGGGATGGGCGGGCCCACCCAGGAAACCCCTGAATGGACCCACTGGGTGGGGTTGGGAGCCAGGTGGCCCTGGAGCGGCAGCCCTCTCGCCCGAGGAGGGCGGAGGGGACTGCAGAGCTCGGGAGGGGCCGTGGGCTGGGAGCCGCCGAGCAGCCAGTGCCTGCCCTGGTCCCGAGGCCCCTCGCACACAGCACAGGTCGGGCGAGGCTCCCTGAGGAGAAACCAGCCTGTGGAGGCGCCACCACTGCACACTGGGCTGTGCCTCCGGGACTGCCCGACCTGAGAATGGTGTCTGCAGGGTCAATCTCAGGTTCGTCAGCCCATGAGGCGCCGCCCCTTCCCCATCAGAGGCTGTCGCAGCGTGAGGAAGCCTGGGGCGTCCCTTCAGGGCCAGTGTGGGGGCGTCTGGTCCAACATGAGAGGCACAGAGGGTCTACACGCTGACTTGGGCAGGACACGTGGGCACAGAAGGGCCTTGTGGAGCCACAGTGGGTACCTCTGGAGTCCAGACGCATCCCGTATGGCGCAGGGACTCCTGGGCCCCCGGCCTGAAGCGGCCCAAGGGCCCCAGGGGGAGGACTTACTGCACTGGTCCCTGGGCCAGGCCTGGGGCTGGGGGCACCGGGGGCATCAGGTGCTCCGAGGTCCAGCTCAGGGGCCGGAGGCTGGGGGGTAACAGAAGGGGAGCGTGCACAGGGTTGTGAGGGGCCGGGGGTGGCAGGCAGATCTGGCTGTGCCTGGGTTGGAAGTGCAAGAATGTGGCATTCGCACGTGGGCTTGCGGGGACCCATTCTGCGATTGTCACAAGATGGGACCCAAGGAGGGACTGGGCTGGGAGCAGTGGCCACTTCAGGGCTGACACTCCAGGCAAGGGTCCCTCGGAACCTCTGCTCACCTGTCGGCTTCAAGCTGGGGACCAAGAACCACTCCCTGCCGCGTGGCTGGGCTTGGGGCTGGCTCCGGCTCTGATCACCCCAATCTCCGGGCACCCCAGTCCCAAACTGGCTTAAGTGTCAGCCACCAAGACATCTGGGTGACCACACATCTGCACAGAGAGGGCCCTTGGTCCCATCGTTGGGGCATCAGATACTCCCGAAGTCCAAAGTCTGGGGGAATATGCATCTGAATTGGGGTGCCCAGCAGGGTTTGTTTCCTGGTGGGAAACACGAGGTGCCTCTGAAGGCGGGGCTCCACTCCTCTGGGACTTGGAGCTGGGCAGGGAGGGGACAGCCCCAAAACCAGGACCTGACGGTGGCAGCGGAGTCTCTCTGCAGTGACCCGGGGCCCTGTGCTCCTGGCGGGGGGGGGGGGGGGGGGGGTTGAGAGCGCGCTGCCGCACATACTGGTGGGGGATGCCTAGGTTTGGGGCAAAGCTGCTTCCTGCGCTCACAAGCGCACGCAGTTAGATGACACTGGTGACCCTCCCCCACGCCCTGAGAAGTCCAGCTGCCCCCGTCTCTGTGCCCTGCTGTGGTTACTGAGAAAGAGCAAGCCCTCGCGTGGCCTTGGCACTGCGGGTCCCAAGGCCCTGCCTGTCCCCACCGTGGAGACGCCTGTGTGTGACCAACGTTTGCCGGCTGTCCCCTCCAGCTCCTGGAACAAACTATTTCGAATGGTGACACTGCCGATTGGTGCAGCCAATGAGGAAGTCCAACAGGGACCTGGGGCGGATTCGGGCAACTGCTTGGTCCGGTCCCGGCCCAAGTAATGCCCAGGGGCCCCTCACAGCGGGTTCAAGTCCAGGGAGCCTGGGGTCCCAGCACTCACCGCGGTGGGTGAGCCAGCGAGTGTAGAACCCTCCGCCAGGTCCAAGGAATGTGGTGGGGGTGGGGCTCCCAACAAGCCCCGCCCACACGGACACAAAAGGCGCTGACACCTGCCTGCAGAGATGACCTAGTTTGCTTGTAGTGTTCCTGGTTGGAGGGGGTTGAGGGGAGGACATGCGAGGTCCCCCTGTCCGCAGCCGTGAGTGCAACCCCCACGGGGCACAGGGTCTTGGGAGGGCAGAGGCGCGGTTACTCGCAGTTCCCCGTAAGAGTCCCATAGGGAAAATTGAAAGTATTGAGATAATCAAGGAGAATCACAATAAGAACACACGTCTGAGGATACCAGGCCGGCAGGGGCAGGGGGCAGGAGCAGCCAGGGGCCTCGGGTAGCTGAGGTCACTGGAGCCAGGCAGGCAGCCAGTGCCATGCCCTCCCTGCCTGGGTGAACCACCAACCGCAGTGCCCACAGGCCGGACCCCGGGGTGCTGGTGGTTCACCTGCTGGCAGACTGTGAAGCGGGGAAAACACACGGACTAGGCCTGCAGCCATGGGGACTGATTAAAAAGACCACCGCCTGCACCACATGAACACAGACTGGCGTGGGCACACAGCACGGAGCCCCAGGGCCTGTGGTTTGCGGGCACACGGCCCAGTGAGGACACAGGAACCACAGAGATGCCAGCAGCCGCTGCCGGGAGGGGCGGGCGTCGGAGCGGGTTTCAGTCACTTTTCCTGTAATGGAAAACCTAAACCAAACTTGCTATCTCTCACCTCCAAATGTTTGTTTCCAGGTGTTTTGCTGCATTACTTAACATTTTTACAGCAGCTCCCATTTTTTCAGAATGCTTTGGCCTGGCCCTGAGCCAAGACCGAGGGCACAGAGGAAGGCCCAGCGTCCCAACCCACAACCCACGGGCCTCCTGGGTCAGGGCGGCCTCCCCCACCCAGTGCGGAAGGGCACATGTGGCCGGGCCTGAAGCCCCGGGAGGCAGAACCCGAGGTGAACGCTGCTCTCAGGGTGAGCAAACTGCAGGCATGAAGGTGGTTCGGGTCTGGGCCAGACCTCCAGTCTAGGGACACCACCTGCCCCTGGGCCCATGACTGCTGCAGGGCCCAGTGGGAGGACCTGAGTCAGCGTCCAGCAGATGACTCCACAGGGCAGGCCTCTGAATGGCCAGGACAAAGGTGAACAGGATGAAGCCGCCCATGGCCAGCACACAGCACAGGCCAGCGGTGAGCTCTGCCCACCAGCCTCCCCATCGTCCAAATGCCAGAGGCCTCTAACCCAGGTGGATGGTCGCTCAGCCTCAGGAGAGAGGGGGCACTGCTGTGTCTGCAGCATGTGGGGAGGCGACAGTGTCCGGACACGTCCCCGAGGGCTTCGAGCCCAGGCCAGGGGTCCTGGGCTCCTGGTTCCTGCAGCTCCCAGTCCACTTCCTTCCAGCCTCAGTGTTCGGAAAACAGAGGAGGGAGGTCTGTCCACACCTGGACCCAGGAGGTGGCAGTGACTTCTGAGTTCCTGGGGGACTGAGGAGGGGCCCCCAGGTTGGCTGGCCCGTCAGCGCAAAGCCCCCCAGCAGGTTCTGCAGGGCCCCATGAGAAAGACACACCCTGGTCTGCAGTGAAAACATTTATTTTACAGTCGTTACATCTTCACTTCCGAGTGACACCCGGACACACAGGACGGAGCAGCCCCGGACCCTGGGCCCCATCACAGGACAGAGCTGGCTCAGGCAGCGCTGCCTGTGCACTCAGTGCTCCACACATCGCCGTGTGTTTCGGTGCACGCCACCCCTCACTTGGTGCTCAGCACAAGTCCATCCTCCAGGGAGGGCCAGGCCCCGCGCTGCCCGCCACCCTCTGGTCCCAACACCGACGGCTCAGAACGCTTGGTCACTGGTTCTCTCAAGTGCTCAGAAAACTGGTCTCAGTCTCCACGAGGAACAGGTTCCCACCGCCTCCCAGATGTCACACAGGGACATGCACCTGTGGGTCAGACAACCACCACGGAGGGCCCTGGGGGTGGGCGCCCTGCCCTGCAGAGGCTGACGGTGGCCACGCTGGCTGTCCACGAAGTCTGGGTACGGGGCCACACCAGGGGTCTCTTCCAGGCCCCCAGCAGAGGAGCTGAGGGGCCCCTCCGCCCGCCCCAACACGCCAAGAAACAGAGGCTGTTTTGGAGCCGCCTTTATTGTGCCTGCCACTTTGCCACTCAACAGCCGCCACCACGAGGGCTGCATGACACATACATGTACATATATGTACACAGACACACTGCCCACACCTGGAGCACAGACGATGCCCACCGTGCTGATAAGGGCTGTGGAAAGGTGGCTTTTGCCAGCTCCACAGAGGAGGTCATAGCCAGGACAACACAACACATGGGTCAGCCTGAGCCACATGTTCACAGCTCAGAACTGAGAGGAATGAAATCAGTCACTTGCGTCACACCTGCTGCCACCAGGCCCCTGGAAGGACAAGCTGGAGCCAGGGAAGGGCAACCCCCCCCCACACGTCACCCCCCCACAGAGCCTGGTGCCAGGGAGGCAAAGGGTCTCCCCAGACTGCCGGTGGGCCCCCCGCAGGCCCCGGCATGTTCGGCACACACTGCCTACGCCGGAACATCCAGAATGGCCTGGCAGGGCCGGCACCCAAGTGGGAGCCGGGGGAAGAGCCCCGCTGCCACCCCCCAAGGGCCCGTGGGGCAGGCTGCACCAACCAATCAGCTAGGAAGGTTCCCACTCCGAGCAGCAACATCTAAAGCAGTTTGAAATGAGAACAGAGCCAAAAGGGAGACGAGACGAGACCGTACCGCTGGGCGGAACAGAACCTACTACCCACCAGCAGCTGCCGGGCTGTAGGTTGTGCTGCCGGACTCCTTGAGTGCCCACCCTTCCGCAGTCTGTCTGGCCAGCCCCTCCTTTGACAAAACAGACTCCACCATGCCTGGGCCACACACACTGGCTGCTGGCAGACACCAGCACTGGCCCCACGTGGCTGCCACTCTGGGTGGCCCTGGGGTGAGGTGCAGGGTCGCCCCCACTCTGCACCAACAGGTGGCCTCTTCAGCCTCAGCTGCTCTGCTCAGCCAGGAAACAGACCACGAGAAACAGGGAAATGCAGAGACCCAACCACAGTGCCGCCCCAGGAGGGTCCCCCCGGCACAGGCGGCCTGCGCCACAGCCTTGCTGGGCCTGCCAGCCACTCTAAGTCCACAGAGACCCGCTGGGCGCCCATGCCCGGGCCCCTGGGCAAAGGTTGACTGGCAGACGTGTGAAAGCCCAGCCACTGCACAGCCACCAAGCCACCACACAGGTGGCTCTCTGCCTGACACGGGAGGTCTCCAAAAGGTGCTCGGTCCCCCTGGGGAGGGGCAGCTCCCTTCCCAAGTGACTTTCAGAGGCACCTGCAGGGTGGACGCCACCTGTCCTTGCCTCCTCCCGCACTGCAGGCGTCCAAAAGGAGTCTTCCTCACAGGGAGGCCTGGTGTCAGCACCAGCTCTGAGCTGACGCCACAGAGCAGGGATGCCCTCTTGCTGGGTCTCCGTGACCATCCGACGAGCAAGACCACTTCAAGCGGGGCTGGGTCCCTGGCGCTGGGGGTTCTGCCAGGCCCTCGCACAGAGCAGCAGCCTGACGCTGCCGTGCCTTCCAGCCACGTCCCAGCCCGCTGAGCCTGCTGTCTGGTTGGCCCTTGGGGGAGAACAGCAGCTTCAGGAGCACGTTCTCAGCTGTCCAACGTAGAGCCTGCCTCCACTCTCCTGGCAGCTCAGGGTGCACAGTAGCGGCTACTGAGCTCGCTCTGCAAGAACCAGGCCCGCATGGGCCATGCTCCTGTCCCCACAGCAAGGGCGCCACCCGCAATCTGGGACACACAAGACCCACCTCCAGCAGCTCCCAGGGGACCCTGGCCGAGACAGTGGTGAGGGGCTGACAGACAGAGGCCTCAGGGCTCCTGGGTCAGAGCCAGCCTTTGGTCCAGCGGGTCCCTCCCCAGGGCCCTGGCATCTCTGGCTCTGGCTGGGGAGCAGCAGGGGAAGGGGTGAGCGGAGCTGTGGATGCAGAGAGCAGGCTGGGCAGCCAGGCGCCACCGGAGCCTGGACTCTCAGCCCAACTATGACTAACGGGGCCACGGTGGTGCTCAGATGTCCAAGAACAGCCACAAAGAGGTGCAGGGCCCGGGGAGCGTGGAAGGCAACACAGAGAAGGGAAAGGAAAACGCCCAGATGTGGCCACTGACCAAGCTCCTGGGCTAAGGGATACACTCGTGGCACAGGGGACTCAGGCCAGACACAGGCAGGGAAGGTGGTCTCAGGGTCAGGGGCCCCTGCAGTCCACACAGCGCACGCTCACTCAGGAAAAGCCCCACCGCCAGGCCAAGCCCAGGAGGTGGACGGGACCTGCACACACTGTCCTTACCACCAGCACCATGGGGCATGACAGCGCCCGGAGGACCCGCTCAGCCCCTCGACAGCAGGCCAGCCCAGAGGCCCCGACTGTGGCTGCCCTGCTGGACCAGATGCCGCAGCCCCACGGCAGCACCCGCCCCAGCTGTGGCCAGAGCGGTAGGGACACCACGCCATGCGGCCAATGCACTGCGGCAGCCTGGGTGACAGCCCCGGGCGGCACGACCACCACCCGGGCCCCGCGGCTGCCCTGCCACACCCACAACACAGACAGACACGGAGCAGAAGCCCACACATGCGACTGGAGGGGGGGAAGACGGGGGACAGCGACCGCAGCTACACTGCTTTAAATACTGCATGCTACGAACTTCCCGGGTCAGGGGTTGGCGGGCAGGCGGGCACAGAGGCAGGAGGGGCCCCTTCCCTGCGGCCAGAGCGGCCCCCCCGCTGCCTCCCTGACTACAGTTCATGATTCTAGGTTCGAAGGGGCCGGTGCTGATTGATCCGCCAATCACAGCTTCTCTGCACTTAATTGAACCCGTCGGTGTGGTAGCTGGGGTGGGAGTCGGCCGTGAGCTGGGTGGTCTCTGTGGCAGACGCTGGCTGTATGACAATCGGCGTGTCTGTGGCCTCTGAAAAGGAACCACAGGCATGCTCATCGCGTGAGGTCCGCGGCCGCGGACGGGCAGTGTCCTCCACGCACACGCCCTGCGGGGGCGCTGCTCCGCCGCCAGGACGCCCGGCCGGGGCAGGAGTGGCAGGACCAGCACTCGCTGGGGGAGGCCGTCTGCTGACCTCCCCCCAACACAACCTTCCTCCTCTGCCCAAGGCCCGCCCGCCCGCTCGGCCCCCGGCACTACGGCTACCGCACGGGCGGGCGGGGACAGCCCTGTGTCCGCTTTTACCTCCGAGTCCACGTCCCCAACGGGCCCGGCCGCCACACACACATCCCGGCACCGTGTCAGTGCCCGCCTGTTTGACAAGACAGGTTGGTGCGGGTGAGGGCCCGCTCCGGCGCCGCCCCCCGCACGCAGGCCGGGCCCTGGGCACACTCACCCCGCTCGTCCGACTGCAGCTGTGCCTCCAGGTCCTCGGGGGACACGTAGAACTCGGTCTCCTCGCCCTCGGGCGCCTTGGGCTTGCACTTGCCACAGCAGCAGTTGAAGCAGCAGCACAGGCAGCAGCAGCAGTAGCAGCAGGTGAGGAGCCCACAGACGGCAAACAGGGCCTGGGGGTGAGGGCGGCTGGCTGAGTGCTCTGGCCGGGAGCGCCCCCTGCCCTGGGACACCCCTGCAGCACGGCCCTGTCTCCCGTCGCCCGCTGCAGGTCCCCTGCCACCCAAGGGGCGCGAGGGGACAGCCACAGGAGCCAGGAGAGGCGAGAGCAACCAGGTGCATCAGGACAATGTTCTGCAAAGGTGGGACCCCGAGTGCCGGCCACAGCCACGCCCTCCCCCTTCCCTGGGATGGGCCCTGAACAAATGAGGGAGGGTGTTAAAAACATAACAAGCGAGAGTCCCTGTGAGTCTTCCCAAAGGCCATAGTGCACATGGCCCAGGACGGTGGCGTCCTTGTGCCCAGTGTGCAGGGTGACTTGGGACAGGTGCTGAGGGCACAAGCAGGCGACTCCGCCTGAGCTCACACACGCGGGGTGGAGTGGAGGCGCCGCCCGCCAGCACTCCGCCCGCCAGCACTGCGCCCGCGTCACGTGAGGCCCTGCCGGGCGCCCCTCACCTTGGCCCACCAACTGGACAGCACGAAGTAGGTGTTCACGTTCTCCTCCCCGAACTGCTCGGCCACGTAGAGGCCCAGGGATCCGTACTTGTCGTAGATGTTCCGCTTGGTGGCGTCAGTGAGGATGGCGTGTGCGTTATTGATCTCCTTGAACTTGTCTGCAGCCTCGGGGTTGTCGGGGTTCTTGTCGGGGTGATACTTCAAGGCCAGCTTCCTGCAAACCGAGCCCACGTGTTGTCTCGTGTGTCATGCAGACCCACTGTGCGGAGGCGCCGGGGCAGGGCCACCTGTCTGCTCCGTGCACTTGCCCCCCCGCCCCCCCCAGAGCAGGTGTCGGGCCCAGAGAAGCCTCAGCCAGCGGTGCAAAGGCACCCCCTGCTCTGACCTCTACTGGCTGAGCAGTGAACTGCACGCGGGTGGCTGCCCCAGGGTGAGGGGATGGGCACTCAGTGGCAGTCAGGTCAGGGCAGAAGCCCCTGGTTGAGCAGGTCAGACCCGCTTCCCCACACTTCCCGCAGCACTGTCTGCCCCAGGCACACTGCTTGTAAACACGTCAGGGTAAGGACTTTAAGCTCAGAGGGAACAGGCCAAACACGCAATACAACCCTTGAGGGGGCGGGAAGAAGGGAAAACACAGGTGGCTCTGGGCAGGGCGGGGGGGGGGGCCCACAGCACAGGGCGCGCCCCCCAGGGCGGTCTCGTACCGATAGGACTTTTTAATGTCGTCTGAGGTCGCGTTCTTGTCCAGCCCGAGCACATGGTACAGCGATTCCCCGGAGGTAGAGAGTGAGCGCTGGCGCTGGTCGGCCATGGTCGGCGAGTCTAGGAGGAGAAGGCAGGGGAGACTCAGGGCGGACAGATGGACAGACAGACAGACGCAGCGCTCCTCCCCCGCAGCACCGCAGCACGGGCTGCTCCCACCTGTGCCTGCTCCCACCTGTGCCTGCGGAGCACTGTGCGCCACCCCCCACCCCCATGGGCTGCAAAAACCACGTGACTGGCTGTGACCCCAGAGCAGCTGCTTAGTAAAAAAAGCTGCGAGGTGGAGCTAAGAAGCTAAAACGAAGAGACGAAGAGACGGTCAGAGGGACAAAAAGGAACCCCCAACTCCATGCTGTCTGCAAGAGACGCACTTTCAAAACCACTTTCAAAACCAACTCTCCGAAGGGTCGAATTGCAGGGAAAAGGAGACAACCCCAAGCTACAAAACGCAACACCGCACCCCGACCTCAGAAACTGACAGAACTACAAAAAGCACCCAGGTGCTGGGGAGCTGAGACCACCACTGACCGCCCGCCGGGGACCTGACACTTACACGGTGCCACACCCACAGAGGAGGCGTGTTTTAAAAACCACCAGACACACAGCCAGTTGAGCCTTAAAGCAAGTTTCGATAAATTCAAGAGGCTTAAACTCACACACAGTATGTTCCCCGATCCTCAAAGAATCAAACTAGAAACCAAAGTTAAGATATCTAGGAAAACCTCAAGTATTTCACAACTGAACAACACACTTTAAAAAACGGATGACTTGAGAGAGAGAGAGAGACCGCCCGCCGCTCCGCCGTGGGCGCCATCCGCCAGCTGACTCCTGTGCACAGGCGCCCTGTCTGCAGGTCGAACCCACAGCCTGTCACATCGAGATGACACTCCCACCGAGACGCCGGGCCAGTGCCTTAACCAACACAGCTCCAAGTGATGTGTGGCTCGAATGAAAAATAACAAGACACGACATATTGGTCAAGACCTAAGGTGTCGGTCACTTCACCTGCTAGAAGACAGCAGGGCACATGCCACAGAAACAGAAGAAACACGAAGAGTGGAGATCAGGGAGAGAGAAACGCGGTGCACACGTGTGTCCACGGGAGGGAGACGGGCCCTTCGTGCAGACCCTCCGGGCCCGACAGAAAGTGACAGCAGAGGACCAGGGACACTTGGGGCAAGGAAACTAGACGGAACGGACACAGACCTCGCACAGCACAGGTCACCAATGCTCGCCCAGGACAAAACAGAGAGTGCGGGCCGCCTCCAGCTGTGAACCCGGAGTCCACCCTGGACAAGGGAGCCCCCCCAGCACAGTGGTCCCACTCAACCACCAACGGACAGTGACACCAGTACTGCCACACTCTCTCCGGGAGGCCGTGGGGCCCAACACCCTGGGCTGCAAAGACACCCGGACGCAGAGCCACTGCAGGGTGCCCGGGCTGCCCTCCACGCTTGGCTCTGGGGCCCAGACCCTGCAAGGACACCAGTGGCCCCCCTTCGGGGCAGCTCAGTTGTTTATATGGGAAATCCTAAGGAATCCACCAAAAACAGAGGAGAAGTAAGCAAACTGAGCGAGGTCACAGGATGGAAGTGCGCTGTGTAGAACTCCTGACCTTGACCCGAAGCAGGGGGAAAATGCCGTTCCCCAGTCCCTGTCAGCGAAGGTTTGGGAGAACAGTTCTACCGAGAAATCCCAGGACAGGCAACTCCTGGGCTGTGAGCTGCACGCCCTCCGAGCCACGTGGCGAGACCTCACACCGTCCAGCCCCATGCTGCCCAGGGCCTGAGTCCAGCGCATCCTCACCCTCCTTGTCTGTGCCCCCCGCCCGTCAGTGTCCTGGTGACCAGGTCGGCTGTCATGTGTCACTGAGCTCCTGCTCAAGTCACCCTTACCCTACTTGACAATGACCCCGCAGCCATTCCCACAACCTTCACCCCGGGGGTGGCCACAGTGCTCTGCCTTATCCTAGTCTCCATGGTCAGTCTCGCACCGGGCCTGCTGGCTGTGCGGACTCTGCCGCTGATGCGAGTGTGCAGAAGAAACACTGCATCTATCGGGGCAGGTGCCACCCGCAGCTGCAGCGTCTGCTGGGGGTCTGGGATCGTGTCCACTCCAAGTAACGGGGGACAGCTACATGCATGAGTTTCTGAGTTTCATTTGCGGCAGCATCCAGAGCCATAAATTTACATAACAAAAGACACCCAAGGTTTCTACACTGAAAACTACACACTGCCAAGAGAAATGAAAGATCTGAAAGAACAAGAGCCCTGGCTAGTGTAGCTCAGTGGACTGAGCGCTGGCCTGCGAACCAAAGGGTTGTGGGTTTGATTCCCAGCCAGGGCACATGCCTGGGTTGCAGGCCAGGTTCCCAGAGGGGACACATGAGAGGCAACCACACACTATGTTTCTGAAGGGAGGGAGGAACAGAGGGAGCAAAACATCAATGTGTGGTTGCCTCTCACGTGCCCCACATTAGGGACCTGGCCCACAACCCAGGCACGTGCCCTGACTGGGAATTGACCTGATGACCCTTTGGTTCTCAGGCCCGCATTCAACCCACTGAGCTACACCAGCCAGGGCACAAAACCTTTTTTAAAAAAAGAATAGGAGAGATTTACCAGATCCATGAATTAGAAGGCCCACACTGTTCAGATGTCAATTCTCTCCAAATGAACCTGCAGACTGAACATAATCTGAACTCTCTCTGGTATAGGAATTGATAGACTGACTCCAAAACGTGCACGGGACGGCAGCAGCTGAAACCAGCCACAACACCACTAACAGGAGAGCCGTGTGTGAGGGCTCCAGACACCTGGTCCAGAACGTGCCCCACGCCAGTGTCCGAGGCCCACGTGGACGCCCACACACAGGGCCAGCTGCGAAGAGTGGGAGTGCTCATGTCACATCTACCGGGAGGTGACTCCCACCCACAGTGCACAGAAACCCTTACACAGCTCAGCTGTACAACAAAACTCCAATTTACCAAAATACACAAAAGATCGGAACATGTCGCAACACAGGCCCACGGCCACGGTGCGTGAGGAGAGGCTGGGCTCCCCTGGTCGTCAGGAGCAAGTCCCAGGACACGTTGGCCGGGCAGCTCATGTCAGGATGCTGGTGAGGGCGTGACGCCCACGAGCTCTCGCCACTGCCAAGGGAGGCGCTGCCATCCCTGAAGCAGTCTGGAGGTGCTGGAGTGCATTCGCCACGTGGCCCAGCACTCCCACTGCGAGGCGTGGTGCTCACCAACAGGAGTGCACACTCGCGCTGGCAGGCGTGCGCATGGAGGTCCATGACAGCCAGCCGCTGGGAACAGTGCAGATGTCTGTCCCCGCATTGGGACATGCTTGGCACCGGGGCTTGAGCTACTGTCACCCACAAGCCCGACTCGAGGGGCGCACAGGCAGCTCCGCACGGGCACGTGGCCTGGCCTGGGTAGAGGGAGGGAGGATGGCCAAGGGCTCGGGGCAGCTCAGGGGAACAGGTGTCCCGCCCCAGGGGAGGTGTCCAGGAGGAGAGAGCACACGTTCGTGCTGAAACCCGCGCAGGAACACGCACAGCAAATCGGCCCCTGGAGCCAGTCCTGTCTGCTGCACCAAAGGGGCTGCTCACTGCCATTCGGCGTGCAGGGCACACGGGCCTCCCGGGAGCCGCGCTGAGTGATGGGGACCAGCCCCAGTGGGTCCCTGCACTGTTGGGTGCATGCAGGGTCTTGACCCTAGAGGTCAGGTCACAAACCCCACAGTTGAGAACTAGAGTAATAAGGCAAACACACACAGGTCCAAGAAGAACCGAAATCTCAGGCAGACATCCCGACTGTGATATTACCAATTTTGTGAGATGTTGCCGCTGCCGGAAACCAGGCACAACGCCTGTGTTTTTTCCTACAATGACACAAGTCTGTAATTATCTCAATTAAAATTATAAGTAACAGCCCTGGCTGATGTGGCTCAGTGGATTGAGCACCAGCCTGTGAACCAAAGGTGGCCAGTTTGATTCCCAGTCAGGGCACATGCCTGGGTTGAGGGCCGGGTCCCCAGTAGGAGGCGCAAGAGAGGCAACCATACACTGATGTTTCTCTCTTCCTCCTTCCCCTCTGTTTAAAAATAAATTAATAAAATCTTTAAAAAAAAAATCAATTACACCTGGCTGGTGTAGCTCAGTGGATTGAGCACGGGCCTTCGAACCAGACAATCGCGGTTCGATTCCCAGTCAGGGCACATACCGGGGTTGCAGGCCGATTCCCTGCAGGCCAGTTCCCAGCAGGGGACACATGAAAGGCAACCATACATTGATGTTTCTCTCCCTCTCTCCTTCCCCTCCCCTCTAAAGATAAATAAATAAAATCTTAAAAAAAAAATCAATTACAACTGACAGCAAGTCTCTGGGCTGGTTCGAGGCTCCTCAGCTGCCAGACCACCACAGCCAGTCAGAAGCACGGATGACACAGCGTGTCACTGTCTGACCTGGGGGGAGCCAGGCCACCCCTCACCCCCACCCCAGGGCAGCAAAGAGCAGCTTTCTGGGCAAAGCTTCAGGGACACCCGAGAAAGACGGCTTCCATTCTCTCCGGAAACTTGTCCAGCAGGAATCAAAAAGCAAAGAGCTCAGCTGACGAAAAAGAGTCAACCCAAAGAGAAGAAACGAACGCATGAGCTCCAGTGCAGAGGCTGTGGCCCAGGGTGACAGACACTGTGTGTGTGACTGAGTGTCACACGTACACTCACACTGGCACTGAAACCCAGCAACAGGTTGTCGGGGGCGGGGCCTCACGCTGTGCCCCGTCACAGGGCGGGCAGGCTGTCTGCCCAGGAACTCCGGGGATGCACGGTGCGCCCAGCCCCCAGAACCGGAGCCCCCACACCCACTGGCTGCGGTGCCGTCTGCAGCCACGAAGCCTGAAACGCTGCCCGGCACTGAGGGAGGAAGAAGCTGGCACAACAGGGCTCACACCGTGCGCCACGGTCGGGGTCAGGGCCCAGCCGACGAGGCCCAGGCGGAGGAACCGCGGTGCCCGCACCCCACACCGCCCTCGCACACACTGCACAGGCAGGCGC